TCCAACGATTCGATACCCGTTACCGGAATAGGAAGGCGCCTGAGTACGAATAGTCCGAAGCGCTGCGAACAGTTCCTTCCATGACGCCAGCGCTGGTGATCAGGCTGATGACTCCAGGAGCGAGCGACAGACTGGAAAGATAGCGATTGACGACACTGGAGTTGGAGGGGATGGAAGCAAAGGCCGGCACAGACGGAGTAGATTCCTTTTCTTTCTCGTTGTAGAGCTTCTGGTTCATTACGATGCCGACCGAGGTGACTCCGGTGTGAAGGGGAATAAACCATGCCCTGTCGAGATATGAGCAGGACCACGCACGGAGTAAAACGATCCTACCAGCCGGATTCATCTGGAGGGTGCCGACTCAGCGATCAGAAGCGCAAAGACGAACATGAACAGACCTGTTAGCGCCTCGAACCATGGTGCGCCCTCGCGCGTCGTTCCGACACCATACGTTGAGACCCCGCTCCAATACGCCCAGACAGCGATGTTTTTGAGCGAAGAATTAAAGTGTCGATTCTTCAGATACATCGTCGAGAGCAATCCGGCGCGTCCAGTTGCGTCAATGAGATAGTCGAAGTGTGTGGTGCCAGTTATAGCCGCCGGAGCGGGCTCTTCCAAGGGAGTAATGATTGTTTTGGCGACAGTCGGAGAGGCAGGCGGAGACAGAGGTTCGGGTGGTGGAATATGCGACCATGTGACAGACACCGGGCGGTCGGGGTCGAGTGGGGAGAAAGAAACGGATTTGACCTTTGTCTGCTCGTAGACAGCCGCTCCAGACGATCTTGCGTGGCTCATGAGAAGATGGTCGAACTCCGAGCGAACCTGGGATGAAGATGAGATGAATGCTGGATTCGCAGAATGGGAACGCACGACGTTGTACGCGGCGTTCTCTGTGCCGAGTGCCATGAAATCTGTATCTGTACCGAGGTTAGCGCGAACGACGCGTCACGAAGCGCGCACATACAGCCTTCGCGTTTGTATTGGTCTAGAAGCGAATGAATAAGTGGAAGTGAGGGAGTCGACGAACGCACTAAATTTAATGGCAGAGCCAGGCTGACAGCGACGTGAGCCTAGAGCAGCAAGAGAGCAAAAGGCTAGACCTTGTGAACGAATCCATAGCTTGATAACTTGTCGTCTGCACCGATGAAGCGCATATAGTGGCGAATGGACGGAATCAAGGACTCCCCGACATGATAGCGAGGGAACCTGTCGGCTTCGAGCACGGTCACCGAGATTCCTTCGCGGGCAAGGACAGAGGCGGCGTAGCTCCCAGCGGGACCGCCGCCGATGATGAGAACGCGTGCATGCTGTCGAGCGCGTCAATAAGGTAAGAAGCAAAAGGTGAGGACAGGCCTTGGGAGGGAGACTGGAGGGCATAGAGGAAGGAGATGTGGCGAGCGAGAGGTTAAGGCCCGCCATTTTATGAGCAGAGCTCTCCCCGTCGACCATTGCGATCTCGGAGAAGAGTAAGCTAGCTCAAAACGCAAATGCAAATTTCGTCTTCTCTTCCGCTCACGCGACAAAGTGCTTCTTGTCCCTTGAATTCACCTCTGTACTACGCAAATAACGAAATAAAGTCGTCCCTGGCTATTCTTCGAAAATCCTATCGTCATGGACGAGCAACCCAATTCCACATGGAAGCGGCGGCGGCGCTCGAATACAATCTCCAGGCACGGCCAAGACCCGGGTGTTGTGGCGGTTTCGAGCATCGATGGAGAGTTAGATACCAAGTCCGTTGTGTTGGAGTGTCCTGAAAAGGGTGCGAGCGTAATGTAAATGGCTAACGCTGACTCTGTCTTGAACTGCTGCAGCGGAGTGAGTGGAAAGGCCGAGGAAGAAGACGCGGGAGAAACCATTGTCGTTTCCACAGGAACGACAACAGTACGCGGAAAACATTGGTTTGAGGTACTTCCGAGCTAGTCGAGGAGCCCTGGTCGGCCTGGAGCGCGATTTCAGCCGCGGTGCCTGGCTTCTGGTCGGGCCCGCATTGGTCCCGCATCGGCTGCGAGATCGAGAGCGGATGGAACCTGATGGAACTTGCAAATGGAAGACTTTGGATGGTTCATGGAGGATAGAAAGAAAGAGTGATGTCCATGACAAGATGAACAAGCGCATCACCGACTATGACGTGACGCGCCTCTCTCCTTCCACCACCATGGTGCTCGTCCATCGAGCCAGAACCTGGTCGGATCCAGACTCTGCCGCAGTAGACGCTGATCCCGACCATACGGTCGACATAGACACCGCAAAGACCCTGAAAGCTAAGGTTTCCAAGCACAAGACGCGATCATTCTTCGCGACGCGTCGATTCCTCTTTCCTCTTGGCATACTACTAGGTGCTCTATTAGCATTTGTGCGTTGACCTTTCACTCGTCCGCAACATGTCCTTGACGCCAAACTAGTCCCTCGTCGAGCCGCGCGACATCCAAGACCTCCATGCGCACTTGACGCTGCTGCTCGGGGAGTATACCTTGCCTGATATACCAGGTCTCGACCTTTCTCGCGTGGAGAATGAGTGGCAGCGGTTACGAAGCAGCATTCCAGAGCCGTGGAAGTTTAACCGGGATGGCCGAGAATTTTCAGCGGGGGAGGCCATGCGAGACCGTGGTCTGACCGCGCAACATCCCATCGTTCTTATTCCTGGCATCATCTCCACGGTGCGTAATGTTTCTCACTCGGACCTTTCGTTCAACGTTTACAGGGTCTAGAATCATGGTCGACCGACCCCGAATTCCGAGCGTTCTTCCGCCAAAGGTTGTGGGGCGGCTTCAACATGCTTTCCCAAGTCACTTTCAACCGAGATCGTTGGATTGGCGCCATGATGCTCGACCCAATCACTGGTCTCGACCCACCAGGAGCCAAGATACGCGCGGCAGAAGGCATAGACGCAGCGTCCAGCTTTATTCAAGGATACTGGCTATGGCAAAAAATAGTCGAGAATTTGGCGGTGGTGAACTACGACACAAATAACCTGCACATGGCTCAATACGATTGGCGACTCTCCTTCTGGAACCTCGAAACCCGCGATGGCTACTTCTCGAGGCTTAAAACCACTATCGAGGGCTTTAAACGTCGCCAGGGAAAGAAGATTGTGCTCGCGGCGCATTCTATGGGTGCAAATGTCCGTGTTTGCTGTTAACGATATCCTGCGCTGACTTGTGTAGGTCGTTTTGGTAGGTCTAATGCCTTGTCCATGATGCGTCTGATGACCAGTAGTATTTGTACGTCTTGCGCTTTTTAATCGGTAAGATGTAACACATTCCAGCTTCAAATGGGTCGAATCACCCGAACACGGCGGAGGTGGACCTGACTGGGTTGAGGTACGAATACAACCTCATCTGCAACGTCGCTCAACAACGCAGAACCACATTGAAGCATATATCTCGATCGCTGGGACGCATCTTGGCGTCGCGAAAGCTATGTCCGCGTTCTTGTCTGGTGAGTGGTGATACTGACCGTGTACGTTTGCTGAGTTGTAGGCGAGATGAAGGATACGGTACAGATGAATCCGGCGGGCGCCTACGTGCTTGAACGCTTCTTCTCGCGAGCAGAACGCCAAAAGCTGTTTCGATCGTGGGCGGGGAGTGCGAGCATGTGGATCAAGGGCGGGAACGACATTTGGGGTGGTCCGCATGGGGCGCCCGATGATTCGCACAACTGCACACACTCTCACGGAGAATTAATTGCGTTCCGTTTATCTCCTCCGCCCCCGCCTCCTGGGTCGGTCAGTACTGGCGCAGGCGTGCGCGAGGAGCTACAGAACATGACTGCAGAGGCAGCCAGTGACTGGATATTGCAGCACACGCCCTCGACGTTCCAGGTGAGTGACCTTTCGAATTTCGCTAGTAGTATCTAACTGCTGTAGAAAATGATTGAAACAAACTTTTCTTTCGGTATCGAGCGCGACGAAGCACGACTCAAGGCCAACAATCTGATTCATCCGAAATGGTCAAATCCGCTCGAGGTGCAGCTCCCATATGCGCCGTCGATGAAGATTTATTGCGTATATGGACACGGCAAAGAAACGGAGCGCTCCTACTGGTACACGCAAGACCCCAATCAGTACGACGAGACGGTTGACAAGGCCTCTGGCTTGAATCCCTTGTGCGTCGACCCGACGGACGGTTCCTGTGCGGCCGGCACGCCATTCGACACCCCCCTCGTGCGCAAGAGTTACATCGACGCCGAGTTCACCGATGAAGGAGTGGAACCCAAAGTCAGGAACGGCGTCAAGATGGGCGAGGGCGACGGGACCGTGAGTCTGCTCAGTCTCGGTGCAATGTGCGTCGAAGGATGGCGACGTCCTCGATGGAATCCAGCATTGATCAACGTTACTGTGGTTGAGCTGCCGCATCGACCGGTGCCCTCGATCCCCCGCGGCGGAGCCAATACCAGCGACCATGTGGATATTCTAGGCTCGACGGGTTTGAACGAGTTGGTGTTGAAGGTTGCTACCGGAGTCGGCCATGAGATTCATGATAGCTTTGTGTCGGATATTAGAGAGTATGCGCGGAGAATACACTGGGATTAGATGTGTGGAAGCTCTCGGACAGAGTTATCTTCTGCCGCGTCGACGTTGAGTTTGCACGCTTATCTTCACAACTGCCGAACGGAAGCCTGCATGTCTCCAAAAGCCTCTTGTGGTACAGCATAGTTTGAATACAGTCTTGGTACAAGGCGTTGTTCGTTCGAAAAAAAAATTGATCGCATCAAATCAAGAGTCACACTTACCAAAACGATATCACCATCGTATCACCTTCACCTCGACCGTTCTCCGCAACGCACAGTCCGTTTCCCTTGATTCTTGTACTATTCGGAAGCTCTCGCAAGGCCCAAGAGCGTCGGTGGTGGTCAGGATCAAAGAGCGGAATGGGTGTTACACCATGAAGTCACACATCATCCCGATTCATCCGTCCCGTATCTCGACCACCTATGCTTCGTTCAGGACGATTCTTCCACCATCCGAGAGCTGGAGATCTCCTCTGAGAGCAGAGAGCGACGGCAACATGGCCGAGTGGTCCAAGGCGCTGGAATTAGGAAACTACGCCGTCGAAACGTGAGTTTTGGCGTCTCTCCATCCAGTCCGTAACAGGGCGTGGGTTCGAACCCCACTGTTGTCATAACAGGGCTTCAGCCAGATGTTTTGGAGCATTTTTATGGCCATTTGGATCGTTTTGCGCGGTTGGACGACGGCTAGAACGCATCAACTTGCCTCACACATCAAGATACGCATTCTAACGATACAAGACCTCACAATTAATGCCATCCGAGTTTATCTTTCACCGCCTGCAGCTTCTTCTTTGCTTCCGTCTGCGCCAATCCCTGCGAGAGCTCGGCTGCCTGCTCAAACGTCTTTACCGCCTCTTCGTCCTTGCCCAAACTTTGCAGCGCCTCTCCGAGACGGATCCAACCCTTGCCCCACTTTGGTTCCAACTCGGTTGCCTTCTGTGCATCTGCAAGAGCGAGGTCGAGGTCTGGAGGCGTCGACTTTAGGTAGGCAATTGACCGATTGCCGTATAATGCAGCAGACGTGTTCGCAATCGCGATAGCTGCCGTGTACTTTTCGATCGCCTCCGCATATTTCCCATCCTTGTAGAGTGCCTAAGAGCACGATCAGCTCTGCTGGAAACAACGACTTGAAGAAGTACTAACATTTCCAGCAACTTTCTCAGCCTCGGCCGCTTCTGGTAGCGGTGGAACAGGGGGGATTCGGTCCAGAGTGCTGAGAAACGAGACGTGCTAGTCCGTAGGGATCGGCACCACGCAGCATGTCGGCTACCTTGCCGGATTTTATCGCGAGAAAAGTAGGGCATGGCAGAGATTTGGTATTTCGCGGCAATGGCTTTCTGTTCGTCGACATTTACTCGCAGAAACTACGGCCTTGAGGATGGTCCGACGCAAGAGCAGTATATCTCGGCGCTATCATCTAGGACTCGATGAGTTTTGGACGGTAAGAGTTGAAGGTTGCGCAACCTTGCACGGCTGACACCAATCTGCGTGAAAGTCTACCAGGACCGTCATCCCAGCCGCCGTGGCGCCGCGTAGAGACTCGTTCCATTGCTTGACGCTTCTGATTTCTATGGGGCCCGTCATGGTTCACTTGGGGAGTCGACGCCAGACGTGGCCTAAATACTGCCTCGAATGACGCGATCGTTACAAAGCAAGAGCGGGCTGGTCACGAGGGCGTCCAGTAGCTTCCAGAGTCGACAGCAAGATTAGATATGTGTACATACAGTTTAACGTCTAGTAAGTAGATTGCTATGTCTCCTTCTCCTTATCGTCCTCGTCTGTTTTGCCCTTGTTCCATTGCTCATATGCAAAGTTGTAGGCGCGCGACACGAGCGCGTACGGCTCGCCGACAACGACTTCTCCCAGACCCGCTGACCTGAACTTGCGGAAGTGGCCGTCGTTCCAGTTCTCTTGTAGAAGCTGTAAGGAATGCTGTGTGGGCTCGAGTAGGTGGTAGATGGGTTCAAGGAGCGGTTCGGTGTCGAGTGGGAGCGGTACTAGGAGGGCTTGGGATCTGGAGAGGTTATCGTTGGTCATGTAGGTTTCAGGCAAACAGGTTGAGAACGCACGATACGTCTGGGCCAACGTTTGGAGGCACTACAGGGCCGATCCATTTATTCTCTTGTGTCCGGGGCCGCCCAGACCGCACAAAGTCCTGATACTCCTCCCACACCTTCCGCCTCACCGTCCTCGTCGCGTCATGTCGAGCCTGCGTCTCGAGATTCAGAGGAAGTCGGGAGATGGTGTCATGGGATCCAATGAAGTTGGTCGACTTCCAAAAGTACCAGCCTTCGTCCCAGTACTTGACATCTCCGGGCGACTTGCGCCCATGCTCAGGGTCTTCGATTTGCTTCCCGCCAAGATATGCGGGCAGATTTGCCGGCTGTCCTTCTGCGGGCAGGGGGTAGCGAGCCTTGCCATCTGAATCGATCGCCTTGTGGCTCTTGAACTGCACAATATTCCGCACTTCATGAGAGAAGACCTTGCGCACACAGACCGAGCGACACCAGGGCGCGCGGTTGTGAATACGACCAGCGACGTTTTGCGAGCCTTTTCCGAGTCAGCAAGACGTTTTGGGTTGTTGGGCGACGCACAATATGTTATACACCACTGGTCGTTTCGCGTTGAAAAGGTGCCTGTTAAATAAACTCAAGTCAGTGTTTACAGTCGAGACGGTGTGCGCGTACCTTTCGGCGGTTCTATAACCTTGAAACTCGGAAAGTTGGCGAATATGACCTGTTGCGCAGGGTGAGCGGAGGAAGAGCAGGTAACAAGAGCACCCACTGGACGAGGAGGCTGCTTGGGTCTGTCGGCGTTGTTGTTCGAGGACATGAGTGCAGGTGGGGAAGCGGTGACTGATCGCTGCTACAGCCAAATGTCACACTCGCTTTTTTTTGGTTCTGAACCACCACGCCGTCTGAAGAATCGTTGTCGCAGCATCCGCACAGAGAGGCTCAGTCCTTTCTTTTTCCGCTGTGGGGAAAGTCTCCGGAGACACGGAGCATGTCCTGGGCTCGCACGGAAAGCGACCGACCCTAAGCACGTCGGTGTGGCCCAGGACGGCGGGTACGCTTTGCACTTGTTGCTCCGTCCCAGCCACTCCGTTGCCCGACTGACGGGTCCGACTCGGCGAAAGGCGCAGGCTGCGAAGATACGAGCAGCCTGTTGCTCGGGTCGTGTCTCGACGTCGCGCAGTTGTTCCTCATAGACATAGTTATACGATTGTCGACGCTTTTTTCAGCGTCTTCAACTCAATGGGGCTCACTCTCATTCGGCGTGGCCACAATTTTTTCCTCTCCTTGAACTTTGTTGTTCATTCCCCCCCGGGTTCGAGTACTAGTGTTCGAAGGTGAGCATCGTGTTACCTCTTCCCTCTTGCATGATGCGTTGGATTTCCTTGAATTTCTTCATGGTGTTATACCCATGGTTCCATGGGGCGTGCTCCAGAATTTGACACCTCTGACCGCCAACTTTGCATCCTTCTGTCGAACCGACGCTAACAAATTCCAGGTTATGACTATTAGCTTAGACTTACATCGATACAATTAGAGCCTTGCCCTGACATCCAATGCCAAGTCTCCCTGTGCTGCCTCTCTCTTCGCCAGCTCCCGCAGTTCGCGTCGTAATATCTTGCCCGATGCGCTAAAGGACCGTCAGTCAAGTTGGTTCCCTGCTTGGCGGCCCACCTCTTGGGAACCGCGTCGATAATGGCGACTCCCCCGCGCAAGTACTTGTGCCGCGCTACTTTCGACTCCATCCACTTGACGACATGCATCTCGAACGCCAGTTTTGCATTCGCGGCCTTCATTCTGTCAGGATGGGCAGGCACGACGTAAGCTCTGCGAATGATAGGAATTTTTGGAGCGAAAGAATCGCGAAGCAAACCTGGGGAGCTCCGTGGCCTCCCTTCACACTAACCAGGCCAATAACGGCGCAATCCACAATCTCGGGATGTGTGAGGAGAACTACCTTCGAGTTCTGCAGGTGGGACTATACGGCAATAAGAACACCTGCGCGTGAAAATCAACAACGAACTACCTTGGTATCCTTTACTGCAAAGCATGGTCAGCCTCGGGTGACCAATATTGGAAACCACTCACTATTTTATCAGCTCCTTCCGCCGATCCACGATGCGGTAATATCCCTCGCGGTCCCTCACAGCGATATCACCTGTCTTGAACCATGCGTCTGGAGTAATAGCGTTCCTCGTAGCAGTGGGGTTGTTCAGGTAACCCTGTCTCGACATGAGCATGACGACTCCTGGTCGATGAACCACCTCACCTTCATGATGGTCTTCCCTCTGACCCACAGCTCACCGGGTTCTTCCGTCCTTGACATCCACCAGACCTTCTTCGTCCCGCACCAAACGGGCCTCGAGGTTGGGTAGGAGTTTCCCGATGCTGCCGATTTTGCGGTCTGCGTCTTGGACGGGCAGCATATGCGTGGACGGGGAGGTTTCCGTTAACCCATAGCCTGCGACGAGTCAGCATTTGATGGAAAGAACGACGGATGGTTTACCTTGGGTTATAACCAGGTTCCGACGCGCAGGTCCGCTGCGTTTGGATAAGAGTCTCGTTTTAACCTGTGTTGATGGTGAGGTTCGTCCTGAGGCTAGTCAAGCCAAGTCACGCTTCACGAGTCAACTCGAGAGGTGCAGCACCGGAATACAGGGTCTCCAAACTCGACAGATCATATCGGTCCACGGCTACGCGGAGAGTTCAGCTGCCTCGCAGTCCACCGAGTCGCAGAATGACACACCTTCATGCCGCGAAAGGACCACAAGTACGGGCGGCGCGAGTAAACACGCTGTAATTCTGTACCGCTGGACTGCGGCGCAGAATTGGACGGGGTCGAAGCGCTTTTGGATCACCACCTGGGATACCTTTTGTAAAAGGGAAGTGTAAGAGTTTAACGGCGCCTGAATGCGGACGTCAGATTGGCAAACAAAGAGGCAGTTTATCGCACCGTAAATGTGATACAGTGGCAGAATGCCTAGCATCGCGTCTTGTTCAGTCTTGATGGGCGGGAAGGCAGAAGACATGATATCCAAGATGGTAGTAATATTTTGGTGAGTCGTCTCGACGCCCTAGGTGCAGGCGATTGGCATGATAGATACAAGGAGTCGACAGGAGGAACCTCACCTTGGGTTTTCCGGTGGTTCCAGAGCTATAGCACAGGTAGAGCGTCTCCTGCGCAAGGGGACCCTCGAATTTCTCCTCGTTTTCGAGTTTCCCCAGACCGAGCAGATCTTCCATACGCACAAGACCCGCCGATGCAGGGTGCGCCGATGCAGCTGGGCCACCGGCCCAGCGCAAGTCCTGGCCAAGGACAATAATGCGTTTGTTAGCCTCTTCTTTTGAGAGTCCAATCTCGGCGAACATTTGGCGGACAACATCAAGCCCTTCTTCCGAGGTAATGACGAGATTTGCGCTGCTATCCTGGTATTGGTGCCCCAGCTCGTGGCTGAGGTATGCGCTGTTTGCGAGGGTGCATCGGAGACCAGCGGCGACAGCTGCGATATGTTGGTTCAATGGGAAGAGACAAGGTCAAACGTACAGCCGAATAACTAGGGAAGTGATCGTAAATGGGAATCCCATGGATAAATGGACAA